TAAGGGGTCAGAGACCTTAAAATAATGATAAATACTGTCATAACACTTCAATTCAATTTCACAATGATGCTTGTGTCGCTAATGTTTTGTCTGAAAGCGTAACTACTCGCTTAACGTTGGCGATTGGATGTCGCGCGTCGAGAAAAAAGAGCGACGTTTTAAATCATCGCGCCAAAATTCATAATCCACCAGAACCGCGCCCTGAATTAGCGCGCGAACGGATTTGATTGGTCGTACGCACCTGGTGAAAAAGCTCAAAGCTGTTGTTGTTTTTCTCGAGACTTTGAGGTTAGATGTCTCGTTCGTTGATAAAGAAAAGCGCCTGTACAACTAATAATTGATTGTTCTAGTAAATATTTTATCAGTTTTCGATTTCATTCACCCCGCTTCTGATTTCGCACGCCATCAGTTTCCGTCAATCTGGAAGGTTGATCCTTGAGTGGGATGTGATTTATTTCGATCCGGGTCCGTTGCCAGCCATCCCGTCCTTTTGATTTGAATTCTTTTTCTACGGTAAGAATTTTCTAGCTACTGACGGTTTCTCAGTACAAAACTGTCTGATGTTTTTTCGATGAACACAAAATGATATTCTGAGCTTCGTTACATTATGGTTCTGTCTAGATCATAGACTATTACCATTTGGGACTCTGATTCTCCATTTAGTGTGATCAATAGCGGACGAAGGTGCAGTACCCCGTACTTTCACCTCAGAATTGATTGATTCCCTTTCAATCAGATTATTTTTAAAACACTAAAGACAGTGGAATGTATAATTACTGTAAAGTAGTATTGGATCATCATAATTGGATGATGGAACATTCTAGAACACCACTGAGTGCAGGCCTGCTATATCAAGTAGATGATATGCTAGTTCCGAACATTGACGTAAATGCAATCTAGACCGCGCATTAGGAAATTTCGGCAAGAAGACAGGCAACCCGAATTGCAATACGTACTGAGACAATGGAAATGCCAGTCTTGACTGTGCTGTTGCCTGGTATGCTTCGTATATCCGGCTGTATCAACTAATCTGAAGGTGCGTCTTTACCCTGATATACCCCCCTAGCTGTCTTACCTTCCCTGCCTAAAGTCGGGCCTAGTGCGCGGTCTAGATTGTGTTATAAGCCAATGTTTCCGAGCCACATATTTACTAATTACATACACGTCAGATCAGTTTGCCAACCTTTAAAGTTCCAGAAAATATTCCAGACGATACACCTCAACATTATGTCAATTCTTATACTTCTTCTATTCTTATGTCTGTTGTTCACCCAAATCTCCCCATCCGGCAATGATCTCAGCATAAGGTGTAACACTCATACGGTGCCCATGTACTCTTGCAGACTGAAGTAAAATTTTTCGGTCGGTACACAAGGATATTATCCAGGTAAATATATGTGATTCTTGGAAAATTTTACTGAATACTCCGTATGATTTTACAATGCTCTAAACCAAATATGTCTGAAAATTTACTCAAATGGCTCCTCTCTAAAATGTGAATGACGAGTGTAGATTCTGAGCGACGGCAAGATGTTCTCTCACTTACTGCACCCAACGCCTCAATTTCAGTGGACTCATTAATATGGTGGCCTTTTATGGTACAGTAGAATCCAGGAGACCTGCGGAAAAGGAACAATGCTCTGAAATTTTGGCTTCATCCCCTTGCATTTTGATAGTCGATCATGATAGTTTGATAGGCGGATGATCATATGATATAATCTGTATCCTCTAGTCAGGTACTGTCATTTTTTTTAATTGTTCAGCCGCAAATAATTTCTGTAAAATATCTTATCATTTTTCTTTCTGTTTCAGACTTCAGTGACCAAAGGGCTTCAAAGCATCGCGAGCAGACTATATAAAAATGGCAGAAGTTGAAGGTAAATCACTTGTCACTGCTTCAATATCTTCGAGAACTATTCTTACCATCGTTTTCCTTATTTACTTTAAACGTGACTATCTGCAGGAAAAAAGCATGAGAGCAGAATTTTCAGTAGCAATTTGTGTTACTTAAGTTGAAGTGGGTTGAAAAATCGGATTTTGAGACACAGGCAGAGTTTTCTGTTTATTGCTAGAGAGAGTTAATTGCGAGCAGGAAATTTTTTTTTTGCCTGTAGAGATCATAAAGTTGCATTTTAAATTGGCAATTTTGTGCCTCTAGCATGGCAGGTTGTCAAGTGCCGATGTTTGTACCTTGTATGTACTATGATTTTACAATTTATGCTGAAATCTGAAAAAAAATTACTGATCAACTAAAATATGTACTAAATTTTAATCAGCATGTTAATTTGATCCTTTTATCGAAATCCAGAGCATTTTGGAAAATTATGGAAGCCTTGTCGAAAATTGTGGAGGCCTAAAGCTATTCGGCCCCTTGTATTTTTACATTACATTTTCCATAACTTTATCCTAGAGTGTAATAGCCCCTTATAAAGCCCTGCTTGCCTTAAACCTGAAAAAGATTTCAAGTAGATCTTGATGAATAGTTATGAATTTTAATCAGACCTACGTACCTAGATCATGTAAGTTTCAGTTACCGTATATTGTTAGGCTCTTAAATAATTTGTGAAGTAAATTTTTTTAGCCTGTAAAAATTTTTTGCCTCTGATCCCATATTGCTTTATTAATTTCTCCCTTACATCTCATTTTTTACATCTAGCTCGAGAACGTAAAAAATCCGTCACAGTAGAGTCCCCTGTCTTAGATAAAGTAGTGAAGATGGAAACTGCAGACTCAGATGACACCAAAGGACCAGGTACCTAATATTATTTTTATATTATTATAAGTATTTATACCTTTTTTTTTCTTTAAACTCGGAAGAGGGAATACTTCCAGTATAAGTATTACTGACAGGCCACAGGCCAAAGTCAGTAATATGTACACACTATCTTGCTTGAATGGAAAGTAAATTTTATTTGAAAATAAAATTTACTTTCCATTCAAGCAAGATAGTGTGTATTATGACGACGGATTTCTGCATTTAATGAGGCAAGTAACTCTCTACTCCAAGGTCTCGAATATGTTTAAGTAAACTTTTTGGAACCATTCCTGTTACTGACTAGGGGCTTGATGCAAACAATGTTCAGGTTCCATAATTGCTTCATTTCCGCCGCTAAGGGCAGATATTTTGCCATCTTTTCCTGATACTTTAGCTCCAAATTATGATTATCAGGGATGCTAATATCGATGATGTAAGGGGTGCAATCTCACTTATCAACAAGCACTATGTCCGGCCTGTTAACCATGATGGTTTTATCAGTTAAGATTGGGTTGTCCCAATAAAGTCGGAATTGCTGATGCTCCAGGACTGTGGCAGGGCAATATTTGTAGTAGGGTTCAGCACTTTCACAGAGTTCTTGATCCTTGGCCAGCGCTAGGTGTATAATTTTAACCGTGTTATTATGCCGCTCGGTATATTCCTTCCCTGCAAGCAATGCACAACTAGATGTAATGTGATCTATTGTCTCTGATGCAGCGTTACACTTTTTACACCTATCACTCTCGATCTTCTACTTTAGGAACCTATTATTTTTATATCATATCTATTATTATTAGTATACTTATCATCATTGGTATTTATTTTCTTCTCCAACTTTAAGCCAAACTGGTTCAAAGGTTTGGGAATGCTAATAGCTTTGAATCTTGCTTTGTATATTCAAGTCATGCCATTTTCCAGAGAAAAATTGAAAATACCTGAGCTTTAGAAATTTTAGAGTGCTTTTAGGAACACTTTTCCCTCTTAAGATCTCAACAAAGTAAGTCGGCAATCACATATCTTGTTTGCGGTGTCTGAAAATCTCCGCCTCCAGAACAAATTGACATCATTTCTTGAAGTTTTCGCAGAATTTTCCTCACACAGAGGAGAAAAATCACGGCAGTTTTAAAGAATTGCCATTCAGTAGTTTTCCGTTTAAGAAATAAAGTATGACAGGAAGCCTGCGACGTCGCAAACCGAGTTATGTGATTGCCAACTTACACCGTTGATAAGTTCTTTTTGCAAATGCTGTAAAGTTGGATTTGTTGCACAATCAACAGAATTGTGACTTCGTAGTCAAGTAATTTTTTTAGATTGATTGGTATTAAGAATTTGTTAGTTTTGTGTGTGCACCAAGTTTCCACATCATCTTTCGAGAAATAAGGCAGTTGATGTCTTCTACTTATTTAATGCATAGTGCAGTTTTGTCCATCTCCGTTTCCCGAATCAGTAAAAAATTGATGACTTATTGTTAGTAGTACCAGTACCAGTAGTATGCAACTGCCATATCTTTTTACAAAAGCCTTTGATGTCGCTTTGTCACAAATTGACCTTTTTTTTAAGGATGAGGCTATTCGTCGGTACGGTACCGACGGATAAATGGCTATTCGTCGGTACCGTACCGATGAATAAATGGCTATTTGTCGGTACCGTACCGATGAATAAAAGGCTATTCGTCGGTACCGCGGCTTGCGAATCTTCAGTATCTGTCGCTGCCCCAACTAACAATGATCATAGTGCAGAGAGCTATTCCACCACCAGCGAATCTTCGGTTTCTGTTGCTGCCCCAACTAACAACGATCATAGTGCAGAGAGCTATTCCGCCACTAGCGAATCTTCGGTTTCTGTTGCTGCTCCATCTGACGAAAATGTCAGTGCAGAGAGCTTCACGAAGCTAAAATTTAAGAGTAATGTCATTTCACGAGGGCGACCTAAACTGCCAGCAAGACAACTTTGTTCCTTTAATCGCACCGTTGCCGACCGACAATCTGTGGAAAATCCCCCCGAAAAACGAAAACGAAAGAAAACACCTGCAAATGAAACTAAAGGCCCCACCACCCGATTCACCCCTTTCCATCTTTCACCCAATTTTTAGCTCTTAACTTCCACCAAAACATTATTAAGATATCATATCTTTAATATAATTTACGTACTAAAATCAAAGTACGGTACCGACGAATAGCCACTTCGTTTTTTTAAAGTAGCTTTGAGTTTCAAAATTTTAACTCTCACATTTCAGAACAAAACACCTTTGAAATCATTCGTGAAAAGGAACCTGCACCTGAAGGATCTGCCGAGCAGTCAAGTAAGTTTTTCAGTGTTTAAAAAGTCTGTCAAATGAAATCACTTCTGATATGCAAGGGAAATTCTATCTCCAGCTTAAAATTTCTCGCCATCTGAATTTCAAGTATGATTGTTTAAAATTTGAAGAAATGAGTCTGTTGGGCCTGAGGACTACAGCCAATTGAGTTGAATTTTTTCTAGGTAAAATTGCACAAAAATAAAGTTGAGAAATGTCTAAAGACACTCCAAAATTCTTACCTTGAGCAGTCCCTATAGTACATTCTCAAATTTTGCATGTACTCGGACTCAAAATGACTCTGTCTCTGAGGCAAAAATGGGAAGCTGTTTGTTTTTAACTGAGTTGACTCTGTGTCTTTCTTCCTGACCAGCACAAGACAAGGAAAGAGGAGCTAGGTCTTTGATCATCTACATTTGTCTACTTGATAATGCAAGTCACTCTGCCGCAAGATGCACTTTTTGTACCCAATTTTCTCTAAATTGGCATGTAGAAAGCTCATAAGCTCAAAAGCATATTTTACTCGAGAGAGAGTGAAGAACATCATTTCAAAAAATCTCGAAATTTAGCCAGCACCGAATTTTTTATTATCTCATGCCTATTCCTCTTTCATTTTGGTGCTTTCATTTCTGACTCTTCACGTCCCAAATTATCAAATTTTTATAAAGGCTTCAATTTTGTTGTATTCATACCTTTACTTTTTGAGAATATCTTATTTTATGATTATTGATCACAAATGAATTTTACTTCTTTTTTTAGACTCAGCCGAAGATGAAACAATTACCATTGACATTGACACAGAAGTAAGTTTCTTTTTATTTCCATTAATGTCTGTTTGAATGATATTCATAGATGCACATCATCATAGTTTCACACATTAATTTATTGCAATAAAAATACATAGGCTCTGTAATTCTCACATCATTGAAAATGAAGGACTATAAAATGACTCATTTTAATGTACATATGTATTCTTAGCAATGGAGAGAATAAAAAAAAACAACGATTTTATTTGATAAGAAAACAATGAAAAACCATTATCTTGGAATTTGGGGGCAAAACCCCTTAGAAACCAAAGAAGGTTTGGTGTGTCGGAAATGATCCGCGAATGTGTCAAGTTTTCTCTCTGAACCCAGAGAACTTGCATGAAAAATGAAACGAAATGTGAAGTGTGTATCTATGAACCTTGCATTTGAATTATGTATTTGAATTTTGAATTCAATCGTATTTAAGTTTGCCAGAAGTACTATAATGGCAATTTTAAACTTTTACTCATCCATTGTCATTTAATCATCCAAAATTGTTCGAATGGGATATCAGACAAGACCTTAACTAAAAGAAGACATCAAATATTTTCTCTGCAAAATCTTACAAAGAAAAGGATTCACACATCAGGAAGTTTGGAAGACAACTCCTGAAGAAAATACACATTATCAAGTATTTTTTCTGTAGATAAAATGGAAGTTAGATTTTACAAATAGCATGACATCATTTGTATTTTGTTATTAGACCAATTTTTATTGTAAACACTTAAAAGTACAAATATCTTGTTAAAAGTTGACTTCTTGACTTTTTGTTGCATGATTTGTTTTCCTCCTGAAATATTTAAGGAAAAATATGTTGCATAGTACTTTAATTCGTACCTTGTCTAAAGGCCATTGATTAATTGTTTGTACCTCATCATACGTCTGTCTATTATGGTGGTTTTTGTGTTGTATCACTTAGGAGCTTGATTTGAATCACAACCGTTTGCGGAACATGGATGGACTGCATCAACTACGGAGAATTGAAAGACTGTACTTGCGTTGGAATTTGATCAAGAAGATCGAAAACTTAGAATCATTGACCACTCTTGTAGAGCTTGAGCTGTATGACAACCAGATCACTGTCATTGAAAACCTTGACACTTTAGTAAATTTAGAGTAAGTGTATCTTTTTACTCACCTTAATCAGAAATAGATCTGTCTGTTAAAGAGGAGATTTAATTAAAATATGGGTAAACAAGGCTAAAAAATGATTCGAACACTAAAACGCAGAACGTTTCGAGCTGTTACCAGCTCGTTTTCAGCTGCAAAAACACATAAAAACAAGTAAAAAATTGAGTGGCGACGTTACCCCAGCCGTTATCACGTAACCACTGGAATTCAGTACCGAACATCCAAGGCAGACATAGTGGCCGCCTACACACCGACCAATGTGGAAGATGGGTAGGCAACCCCTGCTCTTACACATCCGCCCTCGAAATACGAACAGATGACAGATGCGCACTTACTGAGGCCACTTCATTGAAAAAATTGGTGATATGCAGCTCCTAAACCTTCCACGTCTGCTCGGAAGTTGCATAGTTTGTCTCTATCCTTCACAATATGAATCATTTCTAACACACCTGTGCTGCACTATGTCTGCCTCGGATGTTCGGTACTGAATTCCAGTGGTTACGTGTTAACGGCTGGGGTCAGGTCGCCACTCAATTTTTTACTTGTTTTTATGTGTTTTTACAGCTGAAAATGAACCGGTAACAGCTCGAAACATCCTGCGTTTTAGTGTTTTAATCATTTTTTAGCCTTGTTTACCCATATTTAAATTAAATCTCCTCTTTATTTGTATATTCGGGCTATGTTTTTGTGCTTTATCTGTCTGTTAATGGATACAACTTTTGTACTGATTTTATTGCAGACTTTTTTTCCTTCTTCAAAAAAATATTGCAGTCCCAGGCTTTTCAGATTAAAATCCGAATGAATCCTTTATGACAGTGTTTTAATGAAAAATGTGCCTGTAAGCCAATGTAAAACAAAAATCAGTATTCAATTATTTTTTTTATTTTCAGTGTTTGCTTTACTACTTAATTTACACATTCTTACCGCACATAGCAGTGAATCACTAGTTTTCACTATTCCTAATTTTTTTTCAGAATCCTAGATCTATCATTCAACCGTATTACTGAAATTCAAGGGCTTGACAAGTTGCTTAAACTGAAGAAGCTTTATCTCTGTGCTAACAGAATCAGCAAAGTTCAAAACCTCTCTCACCTAGTCAATCTAACAATGCTGGAACTAGGAGACAACAAAATTCGAGTGAGTAACCGAAATTTTAGCACCCCTGATCTTTAAGGAAAATGACTTTTTTGCAAGTGTTAAAATGCGTAAATACCGAAGGACTTTTAACATCAGTTCTGATTTGGTTTAAATTCAGTTAAAGGGTATCTAGGTTCTATAACTGGACACAAATTTTCAAATAATCCGTTATAAATTGGGGAACAGTGAATGTGCGTTCAGACAGCATGTCAAGCTGTACAAGATCAATGCAATCTGTGCTGGCTGCGTGCGGAATTTTAGGGAAACAACTACATGTTTGCAATGTAGCTTGTCAAGGTGCGTGCCGAGCAGGTTGCTGAGTTGTCTAAACGATGAAAGTTTGCTCATGCAGAAAAAGCATTGTATAGGTCAGTGCTGTTTTAACCAAGACCAATCCACACAGGTCAGCCGATGCGCAGCTTTTTTGAAATCCACTCCCCCGCCCGGCCCTAACTCGCAGCACTCAATGCTACGTCACAATGGGTGCTCCCATGAGAAATACATTGCAGGCACTCAATACTATGTCTTTGCGCAGTTGAGTACCAAAACTCGTCCTTGGGAATGACTGACCTGTATAAATTGGTCTTGGTTTTAACATGCTTTGATCCTGAAACTCCTGAAATTACACTGCTAACGTTTTTAATTTTATATTTTTGCAGGAAATCGAAAATATTGAAACCTTGGTCAACTTAGAGCAGCTTTATTTTGGAAAGAACAAAATAAATAAAATTCAAAATTTAGGCACCCTGAAAAATCTGCAGATACTAAGTTTACAGGTGAGTTCAGAGTAAGTCTTTCTCTCTGTGTAGTGTAAAGGAGGGGTTGCGATTTGGTCCGAAATCGGCCCCTCCACGGAATTGAGAAATTTTTGGATGTATGGCAGGTGACAGTGCATATTTGACGGAAATAATCGAGTTTAGCTTTTACTCACGTTTTTTGGCTGCAAAACTGGGACCTAAACATGGCTCCGGAGCCGAAAATAGCTGAAATTTCACGTTTTTCTAGGCTCTACCTCAGATTTTGCCCTGGGCCCAAAGGCGACGGGTGATGAGCTTCAAATATGGTGTCTGGGACACCTAGAGACGTAACATACTTGAATATGAACAGCCATCGCCTTTGGGCCCAACTTCAAAATCGGACTTTTCCAACTTTAAGCCCAAAATAGTTGAAAAGGCCTGTTTGTCTAACGTTCTATTCAGGTTCTGGACTGAACCCAGAACTTGCCTTCGAATAAAGACAATGGGTTCATGCAGTCTTGCTATATTAACTGTCACCAGTTACTTGAATGACTTCTAAAAAATGAGTTTTGTACTATTTCACGTAGAGGTAAACTTGTCAACTCAAGATTCCTTGATTGCTTCTTTGCGCTCTCTAGTGCTTGGTTATGTTACCTTCATGAAAAGCTCAGTGTAATTGAACAGCATACAGGTTTGTATTTGATGACTATCCCAGGTGAGAGATATGTGTTGATAGGAATCTCAAAATAGGTTCTTTTCGACGGAAAGCAGTTTTCACCAAATGTAACTCTGCAGTGCTTATCATGGCCTCATGAGGTCAGAGTAGTTTGCTCTGTGGGAAATTAGGAAAAGTTCGATTTTGAAGTTGGGCCCAAAGGCGACTGTTGATCATATTCAAGTATGTTACATGTCTAGGTGTCCCAGACACCATATTCAAAGCTCATCACCCGTCGCCTTTGGGCCCAGGTCGAAATCTGAGGAAGAACCGCGAAAAACATGGATTTTCAGCCATTTCGGGCTTAAAAGTTGGAAAAGTTTGATTTAGAAGTTGGGCTCAAAAGCGAGGGTTGATCATATTCAAGTATGTTACGTGTCTAGGTGTTCCAGACACCATATTTGAAGCTCATCACCTGTCGCCTTTGGGCTCAGGGCAAAATCTGAGGTAGAACCACAAAAAACGTGAAATTTCAGCTATTTTCGGCTCCGGAGCCATGTTTAGGCCCCAGTTTCACAGCCAAAAAACGTGAGTAAAGGCAAAACTCGATTATTTCCTTCAAATATGCACCGTCAACTGCCAAATATCCAAAAAATTTCAATTCCGTGGGGTGGCCGATTTCGGCCCAAATCGCAACCCCTCTTTAGCTGCAATGAAATGAAAAAGTTTCCAGGAGATTTGCCTTTAAATGTAGGAAATTCATTTCTAAATTCGGCCTTATATAAATGGCTAGGCAGCAATCACCTCATATACATTACCCTTGTCCAAGTAGCGATTGTTTGGAGAAGCAAACATACTACCACTATCATGGGCCCACTCACTCACTGAAAACTTTTCCCTGAAAAACGCTGTCATTCCTGATTGTCAGGAATTTTTTGTGAGCTCATCCCCTCTATGTTAAATGTTTTATTTATAGATCTATGATTAGTTTCTGGCCATGCCACTAAATACTGGTGTATCAGCATTTTATCATCTCCCTCACAGCAGATGAGAAGCATTTTCAGCTAATGAATGATCCAAATTTTGCACATGGCTCACTCAAATAGAAAAAAATAAAACAAAATAATGAACACCCTCCTTCTATCGCTAATTTCCTCTGATGCCATCTCTCAGAATTTCTTTAATAATCTTCGTTTGTTTTATTTTAGAGAAATCGTTTAACCAAAATTGAAAATTTAGAAGAGCTGACAGAGCTGGACCAACTTTTCCTATCTGAAAACGGGTTAACAGAAATCGACGGATTGACCAAAAATCTAAACCTGACAACACTTGACTTGGCTCAGAACAAAATCACCAAAATCTCAAATGTGTCCCACCTTGACAAGCTCGAAGAACTTTGGGTAAGTCAATTTCATCAGTGACCTTTGATTTGAGTCTTCTTCTAATTTGTGACGGGATCTATGAAAATCGACCTTATCTTCTAGGAGAAAACTTTCTTTGACTTTTTACAAAAGCATGCAGGAAGAGAAGTTGGAAACTTTGGTGCAAGTTTGACCCTAAAATCTCAGAAATTGAAGGAGGTATTAGTCCTGAAGTCCCAAGTCGAAAACTCTAGTCGTAGGAAAATGTGTTTATTTCTTTTAGAAGATGAGGTCACTTTTCATAGACCTGGTCACATTTATTCTGTAGATTCGCCGTGCTAATTGAAGCACTGAGTGCAGAAAAGACATTTCTTGGTTACAGTGTTTCAGAATCTCTATTGGCGTTTCATCCATTATAATTAAAGCAATAGTATGGAATTCGTTGAGACTTTTACTGCGGTTTCTTTATGATTTTACAATACTGAAACTGAAAAATTTCGGAGCTCTCATCCGATAGTTTCCTCTCTAAAATATAAGTTAGCAGTGGAGATTCCAAAACGGCACAACCAGGAAATGCCTTTTCTGCACCCAAGGTGCCTCAACTTATATTTATTTTGATATTAATTTTTGATAATCATAACTTTCTCAGGAAATTTGGTAGTTTTACTGAAAAACAAAGCATGATCTGTCCAAAGGAAATTGCGGTACGTTTATTTCTTAAAAATAATAAATAATAGCAAATTAAATAATCTGCAGCTTCCTGTAAAGCTGAGATTTTGACCCTAAAAAGTGGATTCAACTGATTTGGACTTAGGTGTATAAAGGGTACTTTTCAGTTACAGTGTCGCAGAATTTCCTTTTACATGTTTATTCTTGACAAGGAAAGTAAATACTCTCAGAGGTATAAAAATTTAACTAATCTTTCTTCATAATTTAATGATATCTTCAGCTTAAATCACAAGTTTAACAATCAAGGAGTTTCCTCACAAAAAAGAGAGTCGTTGATGGCGATTCTGAAGCACTGCCGGAGTACCGGAGGAGTGCCGTTTCTGGAGCCAAATATATAGGAATATATCTGGAATATTTAGGAGCCATCAACAATTTGCGGTGGTCTTAATCACGGACTTTCTGACTACTCTCGATGATTTAGCACGAAATTTAGCAAGAAGCGAGGATGTATTTGCAATCAGGATTACACAGTATTTTAGGTTTCATAGATTGTGATGGGCTGCCTTTTTTCTCGGCAGTAAAACCTGCTATCCAGGTATATTTTTCTATGTCTCCGTGAAATTAGAACACTAACTCATTCGTACAACTATCAACATCGAATAAACAAATATAATCTACAGTACATATTAAATGAACCTTGGCACATGATATTATTTTAATAGATGGATTTTTTAGGTTACTTGTGCTCATTTTTCCAATTCTCAGACAAAAACTTGTAAATAAGTTTTAATATTGCTAAATTTCTACTTGCAAATTGTGTTTTTATCAAGAGATCCTCGAACATTTTTTACCGATAATTTCCCTGATTTCTCTACTGACGATGCTCAAAAGTTAGTCAGATTTTAGGCAAAACTTGCACTGTCGTGTTTTTGGTAGCAATTGTATTGTTCGAGTAAATAATTCGAGCAACCTTGGAATGGAGTTGCGTCTTTTCACTCAATAAGCAACCGCTTTGGTGTTTTGTAAACAACTACTATAGTTTTAGGCATTGCATTTCAATCGTGAAACTGTGGGAATGCTTATCCCAGTTTGGTCGTTGTATCCCTACAAACAGCGTGTAATTTTTATTTTTAAATGAGAAAATAATCAACTTCATTGCTCGAAAATTACTCTGTGATTCTTCTTCACTCTGTAAAGAATAATCTGTGAAAATATCAAGCGATGTTGTTGGTTTGTCCTCCCTTGATGCAATAAATTAAGAGTTGAGATTACTGAACACCAAAAACTGAATATGCGTTGTGTTGTATCACAGTTGATATTTATTCTCTTCATCATCCCAGACTTTTAATCGTAATTTTTCTTTATTTTTATCATCAGTTAAATGACAATTGCATCGCTGATTGGGCCTGTGTTGATGAGTTGGCAAAGAACAAAAACCTGCAAACGATTTACCTGGAAAGAAATCCACTCGCCAGCGATGTTAATTACAGGCGCAAAATCAAGCTTGCTGTACCATGGATCACTCAAATAGACGCCACCTCTGCTAGGTAAATATTTGTTTTTTTTCCCAAGTAAATTGAATGTTCCAAGTGTGAAGTAATTGCATGTCGACAGCCAAAGTGTAGAACCACTTATCTCCGTTTGCAAGACAGTTTATAGATCTCATGTCTTACATTATTTTTCTATAGAAACCTAGTCAATGTAACTTCATGAAAACTTCCTCCATTTTTCTTGTCAGTTAGCAGAACATTCAGTTTATATTTCAAAGTACATAAAGCGTTTGCTTGTTTCTCATGGAAAAAATAAAGTAGGTACAAAAATTTTGAAACATTTTAATCCAGATGTATGATTTTCCATACTGGCCATCCATATTCAGTTCAAAAAAATTTATGATGTCTTAGTAAATGAAGGGCTCAAACTGAGCTCGAATGCAGATGAAAAAATACACCAATTACAACGGTAATCCCAAAAGTCTGTTGCGTTTTGCTCTCATTTCAAAACTATTAGAGATAGAGAAAATTCGATCGGTGCACATATGAGGCATACATATGACTCATATGCGCATCTAATCGGATTTTCTCTATCTTCAATAATTTTTAAATAAGAGCAAAACGCGCAAGACTTTTGAGATCACCCTCGTAGCTCCAATAATTACCCTATTTTCAATTGATTTTGGCAGTAGCACACAGAATCAAGCACAGTAACTACAATTCATATATTTTACTTTATTTTCTAACATATTACAAGGTACAGGTCAGGTGCCCCCTAATCTTTAGAAGGTTTGCTTCGAGTTTGTCGATCCAAATGTCAAAATTTGTTTCTTTCGATGAGTTAGGATTTGCAATGCCGGTAGCTTTACTCCCCCCGCCCTCCAGGTATGGGTCAAAAGTGCAATTTTCTCATCCACAAATGGCCCTAAGATGCTTCAACCCTGTTACTTTTTCTTTTCTAGGCTTCATTTTATACTAAAAAAACTCATTTCTGTTGTACAACACAGTTTTCCCGTATGTTGTTGAATGTCAATATTTATCCTGAAAAACCGATTGCTTCGCATTTTATCAAAACATGCTATTATAGGGCCAAAATTGTAGGAAGTTTTCTTTTCCATGTATTGAGTCAATTTATAGGAGTATCTAGTTCGATTTTCAAAAGTAACTGAAAAAAGTCTCACTCTGAGGCGGTTTACCATGCGGAAAAGTCCATTTAATGTGCTACTGTGCTGACTTTGAACAATTATAGCTGAGTTGGAAATGATTTCCAGGGCATGATCTTCAGCTTCTTTTAAAACTTAGGAAGTCCAGTTCAGTCCAGTCCAAGTTAGTAGTTCCAGTTTAGTTTAGTTTTAGCTTTATTGTTAGTCGGAGTTATTTGCGCCTCTTAATTGATTGGCATTTTTTTTTTTTTAGGTGATTTGCCTGAATAGCTGTGCTGCGCATCCGGGAAGCATAAGCAAATCCTACCGATCCGTTCCAGGGTCTGCTCAAGCAAAATACAATAAAGTGTTTTTCAGTTTTTGCAAGGAAATGTGTAAGACTCGATTTCTGTCTCCTTAATAACTGCACTTTCTATGAAGAGCTTGGTAAGTCTTGCGCCACATTTCTGGATCATCCACAGGCTGAGTTTTTGTGTATTCAGTAGAGATTCAGAACTCACACTTACACTTAGCACCATTCAAATGCATATTCAAGCTGTGCTTATCGGATTATTTTTTTTTCTTTTATCTTCCAAATCTTTTTTCCCTTTTTTCTCTTTTTTTGATATTGATGTATTGTCATGGATAAATACTCAAATGATTTGAAACAAGGAAGTAGAGTCTGTATCTTGTTAGACTTAAATCCTCTCTTGCACATAACACCAAATATTGTAATCGTTACCTAAAAATGTTCCTGAAAAATTAACAGATACCACTTTGGAATTAACTAATTTATGGCACGTTCTTTCTTAACAAAAAAAAACTTACGCGTGGAGCATATGCCTTGAATTCTTATGAAATCAAACCGGTGAGTCAAAACTGCCTTTCTCTACGACTTTAAAGTCAAATAAACCCATGGAGTACATTGTTCTACTTCAGGTATTCACGTATATTTTCATGAAAAAATGAAGGAAATAATTAATGAAATACAGAAATAGAAGGAACTGTCAATTTCACGTGTATTTTGCTTCTTCGACAAATAAATATTCCTGTTGACATATGGGTGTTTGTTTTTTCTGTCTGTCGCTAGGCTTCAATTTTGTTGATCTACCAAGTATCAGTTACCACCAGCTCCAGCAGCTCATAAGCCTGAGCCTTCTGATTTTAGGTTGCATACACTCGATTTTCAGCGGACGCTAAGTCCACAAATTTGTCCCTTGGCCTTTAATAAGGCTACATAAAGGTAATAAATTGCTCTCTCACAAGGCGAAAATCCTAGGTAATGTAACAAAAAAAATAACGTCCTCAACAGAGCAATTTTGGCTACTACACCGATTCTTGTAGATACTTAGTAGAAATTTCGCAGACAGCACAGTATACATACAGCCTTCAATTCACACCTGGGCAGCAACTAGCTGAAGATAAAGCCTCGACTACATATTATTAAGATAGTTCCTCAGCAATTTAGAGAGTGACGAGTCAGTCATAGATCAGTCGATAATGTCTGGATTTTAGGATATTTCTTGAGAGTTGACAGGTATCATATCACGCTGTAGTGCGTCAGGTATATGCCAACAAAATTCGACCAAGAAACGCTGTGTAATGATGCCAAAAGTATGGTCCGAGGGAATATCACAGATCGCTCTGCCTCTCAATTTGGAGTAATTTTAAAGTGTCTCTCAGTCAAATTTTGTGCAATAGTGTCTGACGTTTTAGTGTGATGTGATACTCAAAATTTCTCAAGAAATGTCCTAAAATTTGGAAATAACCAACTTATCAATCGACTGTTCAACTGCTCTCTTAAGTGCTGAAGAACCACCTTGAAGATCCTGATTTTTTTAAGATTCAAAAACGTCCTCAAACCTGATGGGCTATGTTTTGAAAAAAATACTCTGACATTTCAAGAAAAAACTGTTTATTTTGTGACAATTGAATGCTATTCAAAACATTGAATACCTCTAAACTAACGTCTGTTATGAAAGTATGAAAGTAGAAAATAAATATCTTAACAATATAAGAAACTGAAACTAAAAAGTATCTCTAATTGTAAGCAAAAGGTATCCCACAAGTAAGATTGCATCATGGTTGATTTTGAAAATGACAAATTTTTCAGCAGAAAAAATTATAACTATCATTGAGCTCAATTAAGAGGGTACTTTCTCCCTAGTTGAAGTTTGTCATTTGATGGTAACATTCTTTTCGATTTCTTCTTCGGATTAGCTCTTAGGTATTTTCTGGCATAGAACCACTCATGGGATTTTCATTATTCGTTGAAAATAAAAGTAAAAAAAAAAAAAAATCTGTCAAAATTTCCAAGGTATACTTAACAGCCTATTAAATATTTATAATTAAAGAGTCAACATTGAAGGTAGTTCTACTGAACTTAAATCTTCCGGTGAACCACTAGACAGAGCTTGAAAATATGCATTATGTTATATGTATTCTTATCAGAATTTTGCTCTGGTGACAGTATTCAAGGGATAATAATTCCATACATCAGCTCTGAAATGAAATGAAGCTCCCATCAGTTTAGATAACAGTTTTCTACCTCGGCGAAGTGTTCTCAGAGCGAAACTTGGACGAGGAAACATGTAACATAAAATATAAATGCATCCTGTATAAAGGTCTAAAGTCTTGTTCGCTTGAGTTTTTAGCATATCAATCGCTTTTTACAAATTCAAACACTTAATTTTTTTTTATTCAAATGATTGTCTCTTCCCAACTTTAAAGTTAATAATTAAATAATCTTGTACGTGGCAACAGAGACGGAGAGCTTAAAATAAATGTACGGTATAAACTTAAATCTAATAGACACTTACAAATTAACAAAAAATTACAGAGGAAAATAAGAGATAAAGTATACTTAAGTAAGGCACTCTTCGTGACTTCGTATCAATCATGATAAGGGTCATTTAGTTCTTTGTAAATTACTCAAAAAATTAGTCATCTTTGCAAAGGGAACCGAAAGAAACAAAAATAAACTCAAAACGATGGGAAAAACCTAGGCAGAAAGTGAGAGGGGAAAAAGGCGTCCCAAAAAAGTCAGCATTTCACAGTTATAGTTCGAAATTTGATTTTTTTACATTCATTTTGTAATTCTTTATCGTCTATCTTTGCAAAAATATATTTTTCTAAGTGCATAAGACTGCATCGTTTCATGCAAGTAATAATAATCTTTGGTTTTTAGGTTTTAGCCTTGTTAATCAGCGAAAAGTCAAAGACAGTTGAATCATAGTTAGACGTTTTCAAGGTTGAAATAGGAATCTGGAGCGAAAATAATTGATGAAAGTAGCAAATCTAAAATTGTCCTAAGCTTGCTCGTGGCAACAAATTTATCGTGTAGCTAGGAACATGTACTAAGTTTTGAACACAGCATAACTGTAAACAATTTTGAAGGTGTTGCTCTTCGGTGCTGCCAATACAACTATGTACCTGCAGAGGCCTGCACAATATATATTGTATTTAAGATTCTTTCTGACTTTGATTTTGAAAAGACTCTTCCAAACTATGTGAGGTTTTAGTCGTTGAAGAATAGACGCAGCCTGATCATTCTCCCGGGTTGAACCTTGTCTTTGTCTTTTGACTTCCTTGCTGATTAATTTCGGAACCAACAGTCACATTTCAGTTCAATGGTCATCATGACAGCCACATTTATTACACCCTTTGAACTCACGCCATCATCGTTGAATCGTTAGGATCGTACTCTTCCCGCTCTTCGTGTTCTTCGTCAATGTATTCCTCATCTGCCGCAGCCTCCTGCAAACACAATAATGAGTCGTTGGTTTAGAGGACATCTTCAAGAATATTCACAATTTAATCGATGAAAAATAATTTTCAAATATGTTTCATTACAGGTTTTATATCTGGAGTATTATTCCTGTTGTAAAAGGGAAAATGGCTGAAGTTTCCGCTAATGAAGGAGGAAAAATGAAAACTAACAGCATTCACCTAGGAGGTTCAATTAGAGGAGACATAATTATCATACGAAGACAGTAACTGGTCTAGAAAGCAACCTGGATGCACAAACTTTATAAAGAAACTTTTTTCAATGTATATAATCAGAGACCGTGTGGAGAATATGTTAAGTAGTTGTGAGTAATAAAAATTTGAGTGGATTTTGAAAAACCAAATTGCAGTTACTATCATGATATTGCAAGGCTTAACTGACTGTGAAAGCAGAGATAGTAAAAATTGTTAAGAATAGACCCTTTGATTCCATGATCAGAAGCGATTTCCCTAGAAGCAAGGTGCTCCTAATAATTTTGTCAGGCTATTGATTAGAATACGGTTTGCAGAAACTTGTTGCTTATTTTATTAGTATTCTAAGAGGTCTTGTTAAGCTCATTTTATGAATTATTCGCATTTCAATGTTTAGCTTTTGCTAACGTGTAAAAAAAACCCTCTGGAATTTTGGAGTCATTTTTCTCTTTCCTCCCACTCAAAAAAAAAAAAAAACCCCTTTTTTAAATCAGTGCCGTTGTCTTTAAACCATCTTTTGCAAAAAATAATGAGAAAGTGAGTCTTACTTGATACTGCTGGTATTCAGAAACTAAATCGTTCAAATTGGAGTCAGCTTCTGTGAATTCCATCTCATCCATACCCTCACCAGTGTACCAATGTAAGAAAGCCTTCCGTCTAAACATGGCACTGAACTGTTCATTGATTCGCTTGAATAGTTCTTGGATCGCTGTCGTGTTTCCGATGAATGTTGAAGACATTTTCAGGCCGCATGGTGGGATATCACAAACGGCGGTTTTGACATTGTTTGGGATCCATTCGACAAAGTAAGCTGAGTTCTTGTTCTGTACATTCATCATTTGTTCATCGACTTCCTTCATGGACATCCTACCTCTGAAAGGACATATTTAAAACGGAGTTAGTAAATTCTCAAAATCCTCCATCGATAATACTAGTTGTGGTAACTTTCCCACGAAGTAAGATAGTAAGCCGTATGGTTAGATGCAAAACGGAAATCAAAAGTTCGACTGTTTTTTTTTTTTTAAAAAATTAAAGAAACTTGAAAAGACATCGGGAACAGTGTTCTGTCCCAAAAGTCGAGTTGTGAAATTGTCTGAATAATTTTGCATCCTTAACATGGTTGATCAGAATTTTAAAAAGCTGTTCTTGAAATTACTTTTTTTGAACTGCAAACTTCAAACCATCATAACGCTGACCTGAATTGACATTCTTGTCCTTGCCATCTTGACTTTAGTCCCAAAATGTTTGTAGAATACTCTCTTGTGCTCTGGTAATTTTAAGTAGGTATTTTGTGGAACAAGTTTCCTTTATTGCTGGCTGGTCCTAAATGTACCCACAATTTTTTCAACTAATGAAACATTTTTTATTGTAAGCCTGCTGTCATAAATCAACAGATTTGACGGTACACTGACCTGAAAATGGCAGCAACTGTCAAATAACGTCCATGTCGAGGGTCACACGCAACCATCATATTTTTGGTGTCAAACATCTGCTGAGTCAGTTCAGGAACTGTCAAAGCTCTGTATTGTGAGCTGTCTCTTGAAGTCAAAGGTGCAAATCCAGGCATAAAGAAGTGAAGTCGTGGGAATGGAACCATGTTCACTGCCAGTTTCCTCAAGTCAGCATTGAGTTGACCAGGGAACCTAGAAACATCATTTTAAGGATAAAATTACCATTAAAGACCTTGACTTTTTAAAACATCAGCCTATATTTGTGTTTACTGTGGGACTTAGAGGGCCCAAATCCAGTGTTTAAGGTTCCCTGCTGTAAAAATCTACGGTGTAGTCTTTGGTGGATCAATGTTTATAGTCGGAAACATCCTCAACTTGTTAAAATTTCCAATATATAGAGAATTAGAGATCTTTAAACGGACCATAAAAATTTTGCATGAGCTATTTGTAAATTTTTTACACTCTGAGTGTCTAAACTTGGCTTGGAGCTCTTTCTGTTTGTTACCCTGAAGTGTGAATTTTAGTGTAAAAGCACAAAAAAAGTTTCAATTTACAACTTTCAATTGTGTACTTTTGAGGATGATGTCTATTTGATGTATTCTCATCAGGCTTTCATTGTTTCACATCTTTGCCTTTTCACTCGGTAAGTATTGACACCATAATGTGTGTGTTACATTCAAAGATTCTAATGTAACAACTGAATTTGTTTTTCTTTTCATCCTTTCGATTTTTAATAGTGATCGAGCAATAACCAATTTTATAAGCAGTAATAGTAGCAATTTAAGAACGTGCTCATCATTTCCAAAAAGCATAGTAAAATTTTATACCTCAAGCATGTGGTGACCCCAGACATGGTAAGAGAGACGAGGTGGTTTAGATCTCCGTAAGCAGGAGTTTGAAGTTTCAAAGTTCGGAAACAGATATCGTACAAAGCCTCATTATCGATGCAGTAGGTTTCATCTGTGTTCTCCAGCAGCTGGTGGATGGACAAGGTTGCATTGTACGGCTCCACAACGGTGTCTGAGACCTAAGCATTATTTGAGGGGAGAAAATGAAATATTTTATTTATCTCTCATGACAAAAAAAAAATATCCCTTGGATGTCCAAGTCAGACTCGGACTGGCCATAAGACCAATCTGTCATTGGCAGACACGCCCCCTTGGCGCGCCGGAAAAGCGCCCCTCTGACATGAAGCGAAATAAGAAGAGGAAACAATTACGACCGATAATATATACGGTAAATTTCATAAATGAACGGAAGAAGAGAGAGTTAGGAGTAAAGAAAGGTGCTTTTATGCATGATAGTGTCGAACAGAGGTCTATTACTTTCTGGAGCGTTAAGAATTTCCTCTGAAATTTTTACCTTTTTATTGACATCCAAGCGCTTCATCATCCCCCTCCTTCATTCGCTATGTGTAACTCCCTTAGAAGCGATGGTCGATCTGATTTTTAGACGTACGCACCCTTTAAAGACTTCTTGAGAGACCTTTAAACATATGTCTTCCTTTTCAAAAGGACTATTGATTTGGACACACCATAACATATCTCAGGCAAACTTAACCTTACTGTATCTCAAAACTCAAAAATAAGAGACATCTACAGTGTAAACGCGATACAACTATTCGCGCAAGATGGATGTTCACATTGCATATAAAAAAGTAAGACGTGGTGGCGTGAGTCGTGAACTCGCAATGCTCTGCTCTATGCTACTAGTTTGAAGCACCATTAAGTATACGACAAACGGAAACAAACACAACATGGATATAAAGCGAGGGAAAGGAAAGGATGCGCGTTTACGACGGCGCAGAGATACAACTATTCTTACTTGATGGACGTCCGTGCTGCATCTGAAAAATTGAAGGCGCGATGACGCGAAGCGGAAGCTCTGAATGCGCTACCATATGCTGCCAATGCGATGTCGCTCCGATTCGGGAGAAAAGTTAAAAAAGAGGCCCGGGCACATCTCTCCTACCTTCGGCTGTGTTACTCACGTAGTGCTCGAAGCACCATTACGAATAAGACAAACGGAAACAAAAACAACATGGGAATAAAGCGAGGGAAAGGATGCGCGTTTACGACGGCGCAGAGATACAACTATTCGTACTTGATGGACGTCCGTGCTGTATCTGAAAAATTGAAGGTGCGATGACGCGAAGCGTGAGCTCTGAATGCGCTGCTACATGCTGCAAATGAGATTTCGCTCCGATTCGGGAGAGAAGTTACAAGAGAGGCCCGAATACGTCTTTCCTGTTCCGGCTGTGTTGATACTCGTTCTCTCTTCTTTTTTTCAGGTTCTTTTCTGATTTTTTTTAGGATGGATTTGCAGACCCACGTCTTAAGCTCGTGTAAACCGTAGCACTGTCTCGGTTCTCTTGGAAATAATGGTGCTTGGATGCGTCCAGTGGCTATAATTTTTTATTATGTTTTCTTTAATTTCAGAAGTCTGTCGGTTACTTCCATACATTCAATTTCGCAATTTCTACTCTGTACGATTAATAAACTTTGAACCTGAAAATAGCGTAAACTTGTGCTGCTTTGCCAAACTTGTCTGAACCCCCTCTCCACGTAAGGGATGCTCTACCAGGAAATATCACGTTCCGCCCCTTCAACCAGCCAAGGATCTACGCCCTCAGATGCGAGCCAGTCCGACCCTGGTCCAAGTTATCAAAATAAAAACAAGACTTCGTAGTAAATAATACCAATTATAAGGTCAAGTATTTGAGACTTTCTCACTGCTGTGCCAAGGAAGAACGCCGTATAAGCTTTCAGACGTTGCCAAATTTCCTTGGATAAAATACGAATTTCCAGGGAAATCTGTAATTAATTTTCTTTGAATTTTTCAAAAAATTTATTTTCACTCAAGTCTGAATTATCTGAAAACGTCCAAAGAAAATATTCTTATTTCTCCTCGAAAATAAAAAGTTCATCGGCGAAACTTTGGCAACGTCTGATGGCTCATACGGTGTTCATCCTAAGCATGGCAGCTCAGCAAAGTTGAAACACCTTCTTACTCAACAACATAAAACTCCTTCAAATATGGAGTATGCAACAATACATACACGAACAAGCTGTGTACGCATAGGATGCGAGGGTTTCCACTTTCCTCCTCTCCTTGCATCCGTGCTGTGGTGATCCTTCCAGTCAGTTAGGAGATAGCATCCGTGGTAAAACTGAGAAAAGTCTCTTATAATACGACGATGCACATTTTCAAAATTACAAAGTTGCAAAAAAATCGAATCAACACTTTTGAAACTTACTTTTGGCGAGGGCATAACTGAGTACGTGTTCATGATCCTGTCGGGATACTCTTCCCGGATTTTGGAAATTAGGAGCGTCCCTAGGCCGGAACCAGTGCCGCCACCCAAAGAATGAGTCAGCTGGAATCCCTGAAAGTTAAAAAAAAAATTATCATCGATTCGTATTGTTTTCAAAATCTCTCATTAAGGGTCGTTTCGTAGTTGTTCCTGAGACAACTTCTTGTCGAAGGGCCTTCCTTTTAGTCATTCCAAACAAATTTCTTTCCTTAGGAAGTCCTTTAGTAGCGAGGGTTTTGTTTTGGACGACACACAGTGGATCGAGTCGATCGGAGAGGTCGGACATGCAATTTTTGAATGAAACTGCAAATTGAATCAGCGAGTTCGAAAACACACCAACTCGGAAAAAAAATTGTTCAGGAAACACCTAAAGCTGCGCAGCAGGCAAAGAAGTTAGTTTAAGAAAAACCTTTTTGGTGCCAAAGGACAAGTGCTTAGAGACTTTGTAAAGCACCAAGTTGAAATCGATACACCATGTTCGATGACAGAGAATTAAGCGTTTAAAAATTTTTGAGTCGGTGTGTTTTCGTTCTCACCGACTTTCAGAAACTGATTTTTCATAGTCTGCCAGAAAAATTTATATTTTTCGACCTGAATAGCGCTTGAATAGTTATATAACTTGTTGGTACAAGGTATACTGAACCGAAAAAAGAAAACCGCAAAATCGGATGGTCACCCGTTTCCCTTGAAATGGCCAAAAATTGGTATTTCCAATGAAAGACTTCGATTTTTCCCTTTTCCCGTCGCTGTTTCGAGCACTTCCGATTGCAATTTCGAAATTTCCTTTTGTGTGCAGATGCTTCTATCCATAAGTGTTACTAAACCGTAAAAAAGTGAAAATCGAAAAAAAACCCGAGTTGGTGTGTTTTCGAACTAACTGATTCAATTTTCATGTTCATTTCGTTACAATTTCAAACTTCCTGGATGAAAATTTCACGAGGAAATGAACAGAGCCACTTTTAAAACCTCTAAATTGTGTATTAACGGAGTTATAAGCGTTTAAAGGTTCCAAATTTGCCCCGACCACTCCTATGACTCGATCCTCTGTGCAGCAGAGAATGTGTAAGATAGCTGATGAAGGGGGTCAGCGACCAGAGCGGCCTTGGGCCTCGACAGGCGCCCAAGGCCGTGGAAAACGGCGAAAATAGGTGAGGCAGACGCAGCGATTAGATATCAAGTCCGGCTCCCGGTCCGGTCACCGAATCGGGGGCAATGAGATCATGAAGAATGATTATACGCCCGTGGAATCCATGCCTATACTTCGTTGTCAGGACTCACCGGAAACATCCTCCGATCCTTAAGGTGGATATTCAGCTGTAGTTCCGAAAAAATCCACCACGTCGCGCTGCTAAAATCCGGCTCCGAAATCAGTTATTATTTAAATATTACAATCGATTTATTAAATTCTGGGAGTCATCTAGCAACATCCGTCTGGGGCCAAATTTTGTCGGCTTTTTCACACCGAGTGCAACATCCATCGATGAGTTCAAACCGCACCACCGGCCGATCAGAAGCGCTAAGCCGGACTTAAGTGCAGTCGAGGCCCGTCCTAATGCCGCAATCACACGCTGAATGTGGCTTGAATGTGGAAGTCATCAGCCCGATGCCTGAATTTTGCGCGTGACGCGCAAAATTCAGCAACGATTCTCAGCAACCATCGGACTAATGTTGGATTTGTCTGAACTATTCGAGTGGATTTGATACACATCTGGATGAAAATAACTCGAATTTGCGAAATTTCAGCCGTTGGGCGATGACTATAGACTTCCACATTCAGCTGCTAAATTCAGCGTGTGATAAGTATAAGACATAAGTATATTTAAGTACGGTGGAAGGACCGACAAAATTCGGTCCCTGGAATGCAACGACAGGAAGTCTGCAACTTTTCACGTGGAGATACGCGGGTTCGCACTTCGGCCATCGACACAGTGTTCGAAACTCACAGGCGCCAACGCGCCAAATGCGCCTAAAAGATCGGCCATGGCGCCTAAAAAATGAAGGTTCTGCGCCAACGTGGCCCCTAAAAATCTGGATCTTCATAGCTAGTCACATAAAGGAAGAAAAACAAATCTATTTGAATTACAAAAACTCAGAATTTTCAGCACTATAAGTGAAAGCTTTTTCTATTCTTCACGATTTAATTATTAGTGCTTTTGTCTTGCCCACGTTACAGCTACTTATTGATTCTGTTACCAAAACATCTTGCGTCTGAATTTTCACTAAATGCGCCGTAATAAATAGGCAAAAAGTCAATTTGGCCTTTAAAAAATCTTCAACGGCGCCTAAAAATCGGCCTTGATGCGCCACATGGCTCCTAAAACTCAAATGTGAGTTTCGAACACTGCATCGACACCTAACCATATCGCACACATCAATCAGAAAACCGAACGAGGATATATCCGGCAACGTCGCTTGCAGTCTCACCTGACGGATCGAGTGCGCTCGCGTGCGGATGCGAGCGCGGCGGAGCACAGTTTTTTAATTGAAATAATCTCCGGGTCATAAAATAATAGCGCCCGACCCGGCGATGCGTCTAGCAACACCCCGTTCCGCCGGGGCAAAACCCCCCAACTCCCACAGAAATCCAACTTAAAACCGTCGTTTCTACTCAGCGCCGAGTAAAAGTGAATTCCGCGCGGCTGCGGCGCCGCCGTTTCTCCGAAATAGTTTTCGACCCGGCCGACCCCCCCTCCCCCCCACCATCGAGCCCCGGGGGTCACTGACCCCCGCAATATTAGCTCAAGCCCGGGTAATTACGGAAGTATAGTTATTTATAAGGCCATTCTTCCCCGTCGATTCGTCGCTCCGCGGACAAAAATGCGTATCTCAATTTCAATACATGAACCCTGTTCTCCGTGTAACACCATGCTTTCTGGGGCTCGTGTGGAGATGGAGATACGTTCTTACGTTACAGGAGCGACGATTTTCTTGAGTTTCGCGATCTCATCCTTCGTCTCTCTTGTCCTCTTCTTTGTCTCCGGTGATCCGAGGGTGTTTTATTCGGCGGATTGTGTGTCACCTCTTCTGAAATTCTTGAATCGTCTCCGGGTGTCGCATTTCTGCGGCTATTTTCATTGGGCGCTTCGTTTTTTTAATTCGGGGGAAGGGAGTGTTACGTTGGGCGTCGTCGTTGACAAATTCCAACGGAGATGGCGATGTGTTGCAATTTTTGTGATCCATCCCTCCACATCTTGCATGGAGAGTTTTGAGCAAAAATTATTTTTACATTTGTAATATGAACTGGGACTAGCTGGAAAAATAGCAGTCTGATTTTTTTTAAATACATTTTTAAAATTAATTATTATTAAAAAGACTAACGACGAGATCTGCACTGAGGAAAATATGCCTTTTATTTAAATATGTATACCACGAGTCTAGGAGTCTTTTTTGGGGAACAGAAATACTATTTGAATCACGGAGATTTCCTGGTGTCTTAACGAGAAATTCCTCCGAAATTCCGAGAATTCTGTGTACCAGGAATTCATGTTGATCAAACAGAACAGTTTTTCCAGAAGCGATTTAGAGCTAGATTCATAACCGGATTCAGGATTTTTGGGCTCCGCGGCCAGCGCACAATGGGATCGAGTCAATAAGAGAGGTCGGACAGAATTTGGAAACTTTAAACGCTTACAACTCCGTTCATACAAAACTTTGAGGTTCTAAAAGTGGCTCTATTGGTTTTCTCGTAAAATTTTCTTGTATACGCACTTCTTGAAATTTAAAATGTGATAATATAAACATCAAAATTTGTAGTTTTAGAAAAATGTCATATTCGACCTCTCTAATTGACTCGATCCAATGTGCGGCGCATTTTCTGTGTGGTCTGGTTTGCCATGCATTTTCCACTGTTTTTCTTAGTCACCATTTCAATTCTCATAAAATATCAACTATATTCCTGGAAGATTTTATGAGTTTGATGTGGACATAGGACGGCATGGAGCGCTTTGCTCTGAAAGCGGATTTACCTTTTATCGGTCATAATCATACTCACTTTAATGTAAAACCCTCCATGTTACGTCTATGTCAAGTATGTCGTAATAAACACCGAGGTTTTCTTGGGGCTCCAGATTACCACCGTCGTAAAGGCTGTTAATGCACTCTCGACCGAATATAATTCTTGATACTGTCGTCGCCCAGGCCTTGAACTAACGCGATTATACTTCAAAGCTGCAAGATCTACTCGCACGATTTTGTTTAAACGAAAACTGATATCACAAATTGCATTGCTCATTTTTTACAGAAGTTACGCCGTGTGAAAACCTGTGAAGTTTTCCATGAAAACTGCCCAATAGTTATAGAGTGAAATTAACAATTGTGAATAGAAATTTGGCAAGGATGGAATGAAGTTACGTTCTTTCGTCTATAGTAAATGACGAGATGCCTACGTAATATAAAACTTCGATAAAAGGTGCACCGTGTATAGGGAAGAATTATTTTGATGGGGGGGGGCTGTCCAACAAGGGCTCAACAAGGACTCAACAATCCAACAAGGGCTATTTAAAATTTCACTCAATAATATCTCAGCCTCTCGAGCGGAGTTCATAGACCTTTTTGGAGGTTGAGTTACTCACGTCGCGGCCGTTTCTTCTTCACTGTGTCATAGTGCGGAAGTCGAAAGATTTACGGGTACAATGACCTGACCATAGCCCACCATGGACCCTCCTCAGTGCGGCTAATTTTTGCTATTTTGAAGCATAGATTTGGTCGGTCGTGCGGATCGCAGAATAAAATTTTGACTCTTGAATCTCGTACTTCAGCTACAGAAAATACGATTTCTCTAAACGCTAAATTTTGTGAAATTTTATCGAGAAATCTCATCCTGTTGTACTTTAATCTTAAGATCTGTCTCGTGGTTCATTTTGTCGCTTGGCTGACATAAGAGCGTAACTACACCAGTGGCGTGGCGTATTTTGCGATATATCGATTGACCTGTCATTTAAACCTATGGAAAAGGATCGATAAACTGGATGTTCGCAAGAAACACCTTAATAATCGATTCTTTACCATGACTTCAAATGGGAAAATATCGATAATCGATCATTCACGCCGCGCCACTTAACTACACTGAAAGATGAACCTGGGAGAGCACTTGGGTTATGTGGACAACAGGGTTCATCGCGAGGTGTAGTTACGCTTTTTTGTCGGGAGGGCGACGATTTGTGACCGGATCTATGGAAAGAGATTCAGAGGCGCAAATCTTTAAAACAACATATCTCCGACTCTACGGCAGCTACAGACCTCATCTTCAGCTCATTTTACAGCTCTTAATTTGATTTTTGATTGGTAGTCTCTTTCTCGAATAGCACAGATTGCAATAAGTAGCAATTACATTGTAAAAATATCGCAATTCCTCTGAGTGTTGCGTATGTTGCCTGGCTCCGACTTGAAGGGACTTCATCTATTGAAACTAATTGCAATAAAATTGGAATAAGTTGCAATTTTTCATTGCATTGCATATTGCCTATCTTTTTGACACGTAGAGCAAATTTTGTTGATTGTTTAAAATTGGCATAAATCGACTGAATGATGATAAAATATTGCAAAATGCAATTTGAATGCAAATTAAAATTGTATCAATATCAAATTGCAATTTAATTTCAATATTTCCGTTGCGCTACTTGGGGAGTACATCAATTAATCCACGAAATTTCATCAAAATCCAAAAAGGTCGAGTTAAATTTTAAAACAATTTCGTCGATTTTGACTGGAATGGCCTATGCTGCCGTGCTAAGGAAAAACGCCGTACGGGCTTTCAGGCGTTGCGACATTTCCTCCGGTAAAAACCAATTTTACCAATAAAACCAAAAAACCGGTACTTAAAAACCAAAATTTACCAACTGAGAAATTTCTGAATATTTTTCTTCCACTTTTTCCGACAATTATGTTCTCATTTTAATTTATAAGATCTGAAAATTTCAAGGATAAATATACATGACTTTCTTCAAAAACAAATATTTTATTAGGAAAGATTGGGCAACGTCTAAAAGCTCATACGGCGTTTTTGCTTAGGGCGACAGTATACCGGTTAAACGTTAGATGGACTACATTTTGCAATTGGGAACTATACATTCTAGCCCGGTTTAAAAACAACGTATGTGCCATTAGTTCCTCTATGCACATGAGTGTTTTTTCAGATGAGCCAGAAATTTTTAAGTCCAAATGGACCACTAGACAAGGTACGAATTTAAGCAATCTGATACATGTTTCTTAACCAGAATTTCACGTAGAACACGATTCACACTACGAAAATTACCGAAATCAACTTCTAACGAAGATATTAACGTTTTTATTTCGCACTGATTACGAGGAATTTGAACTGTCCGCTCACAAGAAACTTAAAGCTCTACGTGAGTCAAATCGCGCACTACAACGGTTTCAGCAAGCTTCTCAATCGAGCAATGTTCATTTTCCACCATGTGTTATTCAAACTATTGGTAATTTGCTACAGCTGAGCCAAAGTGTCAAGATTGAAGTTGAAGATTTTTACATCGCGGAGACTGTCATGATAAACATTTAGCGCGCGATGTGAATCACGTAGAGCATTGAGTTTTCATGGGCGGGTGGTTTGAATTTACGCATCAAGAATCATTAAATATCTTCGTCAGGAGTTGATTTTGGTAATTTTCGTTGTGCGTATCGTGTTCTACGTGAAATTTTGGTTGAGAAACATGTATCAGAATGCTGAAATTCGTACCTTGTCTAGTGGTCCATTGCAAAATGCAGTCCAGATGTAACTTGATGTAAAGTTGACGTACCTGTAAGCAATCGCAGTTCTCGGACTCCTTGCGGACGACGTCGAGGACAGCGTCGACGAGTTCGGCACCCTCGGTGTAGTGACCCTTGGCCCAGTTGTTCCCGGCTCCGGATTGGCCGAAGACGAAGTTGTCCGGACGGAAAAGCCGACCGTACTCGCCGGAGCGCACGGAGTCCATCGTGCCCGGCTCCAAATCCAGAAGCACCGCTCGGGGAACGTACTTCCCGCCACCTGAATGCATAGCACCTGACAAATAAGTAAACCGGAATCAAACACACATACAGGACCGTCAACCCATGCTCACGAACATGAACAACATGAAAATATGAACGTGAAAACACGAATGGAACATGGAAATACACGAAATAACAGCTCGAACAATCTCCCTGATGGAACAGGACATACTATGTATGGATTACATTTTGCACATTAAGAAACCACTATTTCTGGCTCATTTTAGAAACAACATACATGCCACTGGTTTCCCTATGCAGATATGTGCTTTTATGGGAGAGTCAGAGATAGGGGTTCCGTATTGCAAAATTTAATCCATATGATCTACAACTATTGGGATTACGTTTTGCAAAAAGGAACCACCATTTCTGGCCCATTTTAGAAACAACATACATGTAATTGGTTTCCCTTTACAGATGAGTGATTTTATGGGAGAGCCAAAGATAGTGGTTCCTTTTTGCAAAATGTAATCCATTTGTGGTTTGAGGTGTGGCTTCTTGCCTATCCTACGATTTGAAGGGATTCCCACATTAAAAGAAAATACCACATTATATCAATCAGCCTCTCCATGCATGGTACCTGACAACTAAGGAACCCGAAATCAAAACACAAATTAGCACCGTCAACTCATGCTCAGTGCTCACAAACATGAAGAACATGATATCCATGAGAATACACAAAGTGGCAGCTACATATGCAAGTTACAAGCGCTTTGTTGAAAGTGAAACACCAATACCTATACATGGAGGATTTCGATAGCTCGACGTCGAGCGCATCCAAGCACCATTATTTCCATAAGAACCGCGTCAGTGCTGCGGTTTAGACGAGCTTAAGACGTGGGTCTAAAAATCCATCCTATAAAAGAATCAGACAAGAACCTGAAAAAAGAAGAAAGAACGAGTATCAACACAGCCGACGACAAGGAAGACGTATTCGGGCCTCTTTTTTAACTTTTCTCCCGAATCTGAGCGGCATCTCATTGGCAGCATAAAGCAGAGCGTAGAGAACTCACGCTTCGCGTCATCGCGCCTTCAATTTTTCAAATGCAGCACGGACGTCCATCAAGTACGAATAGCTGTATCTCTGCGCCGTCGTAAACGCGCATCCTTTCCCTCCCTCTATTTCCATGCTGTGTTTGTTTCCGTTTGCCTTATTTGTAATGTTGCTTTAAACTAGAGCAAGGGCATTGCGAGTTCACGACTCACGCCATCGCGTCTTACATTTTTCATCTGCAATCCATCTTGCGAGAATAGTTGTATCGCGTTTACACTTTGCATGTCTCTTTCTTTTGAATTCCGAAATAAATTAAGGTTAAGTTTGCCCGAGATATGCTATGATATGTCCAAATCAATAGTCATTTTGAAAAGGAAGAAATATGTTTAAAGGTCTCAAGACGTCTATAAACTTGACCTATAACTGACTTTATAGACCTCTTGAAACCTTTAAACATATTTCTTCCTTTTCAAAATGACTATTGATTTGGACATATCATAGCATATCTCGGGCAAACTTAACCTTAATTTATTTCGGAATTCAAAAGAAAGAGACATGCAAAGTGTAAACGCGATACAACTATTCTCGCAAGATGGATTGCAGATGAAAAATGTAAGACGCGATGGCGTGAGTCGTGAACTCGCAATACCCTTGCTCTAGTTTAAAGCAACATTACAAATAAGACAAACGGAAACAAACACAACATGGAAATAGAGGGAGGGAAAGGATGCGCGTTTACGACGGCGCAGAGATACAACTATTCGTACTTGATGGACGTCCGTGCTGCATCTGAAAAATTGAAGGCGCGATGACGCGAAGCGTGAGTTCTCTACGCTCTGCTTTATGCTGCCAATGAGATGCCGCTCAGATTCGGGAGAAAAGTTAAAAAAGAGGCCCGAATACGTCTTCCTTGTCGTCGGCTGTGTTGATACTCGTTCTTTCTTCTTTTTTCAGGTTCTTGTCTGATTCTTTTATAGGATGGATTTTTAGACCCACGTCTTAATTGTGTCATAAAACATCTAATGATAATTTTTAAAACGTTCTTCACACATAAACTACCCATGAAACCCTTTAAACGTGCCACCCCTCATACGCCATTCCTCAATGTTACAGTCTCAAAGGCGACCTTTGTTTCAAAACCAACCGCGGGGTCCAGGCCAGGGTTGCAATTTTTCATGAAGAATAAAATCTTGTAATTTCATGGGAAGTATTTCATGAAATTTCCGAAAATTATGGAAAGCACTGAAAAATATTTTTGGAAGTTAAATGCAAAATTAAGCGAAAGGCGACTGGCTTTTGCTTATTGGTGTTATTTAGTGCGTGTTGCATACCCAGTCCCTGAAAATATGGATCAGCTCTTCATATTTTTCACAATTTTGTGAAATTTCATGAAGTATTTCACCAGAGTGTCTAGCATCAAGAAAAACTGGAAAATATCAGGAATTTTGGCCGACCAGGAAAAAATCAGGAAAATCGGAAAAATCGGACGTTTTTGTAAGGAATTTTTCTCACTTTGTCCGAAAATTTAGTTTCCGCATGCATTGATGCAATAGATACAGTTTTTACGAGAAAAATCAGGAAAACATCAGAAATTTTCAAAATGAAAAAATCAGGAATTTCTTATAAAATATCAGGAAAATATCAGGATTTTTCAAAACGAAAAAATACTAGACACTCTGTTCACGGAAATTTTCGTATTTCATGTTTTTCATTTGACCCGTGCAATCCTGGTCCAGACACGGCGTCGCGATGCCGCGAGCAGGCGGCGGCCTTGTCCGTGACAATGCGATCGCGAAGTACGAGCCGCGAGTTCATTCGCCGCGAATTGCGAATTGCGAATGCGAATGCAACGGAGACGCTCGGCGCTCCAAGACGTATCGGAGAGGGTCCGGCGTCGCAAATAGGGCTTAATTGATTTCTTTGTCGCGGGTTCGCCGTTCGCGGACCCGGCGGCGGCTGCTACTTGGACGAGAGGGCCCCGGTTTAATTAGATTAATGAGAGGATCCAAGGGCCGCGCTGCAGCGGCAAGACATCGCCCACGCGGGGAGCCAGGAACCCTTGCCATATCCACCACGATTCCGAGAAAATGACCGAGAAGGGGTTATGATCTGTGCCCGATCGGTAATTGAAGGGTCCAGAGGGTCCACTGGATATTAAAACACATTGGATCTAGAGTCCAGACTCTTAAAAATATCGACAAGAAAAAGTACTCTTGATTCAATCAGAATCTAGCTTGAATCAAGAACCAAGCCTCTTAATCTAAGCGGATTTCGTTTTGATTCAAGCAAAAATCCGATTGAATCAAGAGTATTTTTTCTTGTCAATGTTTTCAAGAGTCTGGACTCCAGATCCAATTTTTTTTTTTTTTCCCCAGTGAGGTCGGATATGAAATTTTTCACTAAAATTGCGAATTGTGATGTTTATTTCGTCTCATTTTAAATTTCAAGGGGTGGCTCTGGAAGAAAATTTCACGAGGAAACCGTCGAACACACTTTTGGAACCTCGAAGTTTTGTATAAACGGAGATACATGCTTTTAAAGTTTCCAAATTTTGTCAGAGCTCTCCTATTGACTCGGTCCACTGTGCGGCGGTGCGGCGCGGCGCTATAGTCGGTGACGTGGCGCGTTTTGTCCCGGTCTTGGGGCGTCGGAGTTATCCCTGCGTCTCATTAAGCCCTCAAGGAGTCCACGTCCAGCGCAGCGTCGCGACGCGCATCGGGGCACAGGCTCACGCCTTGACACTATTTATAAGCTGGCTAAGTTTAGTCAACGCTGCCCGCTCCAGCTTCCATCCACCCGGAGAGCTCCCATGGCCTCTATCAGCAAAGGCTCACAGGAGGGATTCCAAAGTTTAGGTGTCACCTCTGCTCTGTAAGCAACGAAAATTTGACAGTTCTAGAGGGCTGCCTAGTGCCAAGAGAGCAGTAAGTGCAAAAATGAAGTTTTGAGAAAGCGGGCTCAGAAGCGTCCGACCGAAACATTTTATTGAAAGAAGCATCCTTTTTTCGTCAAATTGCCACTAATCATCCGGAAGACTCCCAAGGTCTCGATAGACGATCAAATTCCCGAACCAATTACCATCAAAAGGTCGGGAGTCATCAGTCTTAAACTCATTAATTTGCTTAATTTTAAAATGAAAACTTGGCAGAAATGTTTCCTGAGGCAGGAAATGATGAATGGTGGCACTCCATTTTGATCTTACTTTGAACAAAATAGTGCGTCTCGTCAAAATTTGATGGTAGATGGTGACCAGCAGTCATCAGCATGTTTACTTTGATCGGAATTGGTTCGGAATTTGATCGTCTACCCAGGGCTCTAGAAATCGTTTGGATGATTAAAAATCGACCGATTTTATTTCCATTACATAAATGGGCATTTTTCATTTTCATGCTAGGCTAGTGTTAGGCAAGACAGCCGTAAGTGCTATCTTCTGCATGCTTTCGTGGTTGCGTTTCGAACACACAACAAACACATTTTCAGAATAGAAATCGGCAGAAGAGGGCGGCATTTTACTTGAAAGCGTTGTTTTCATTGGTTCTCTGGAGGAATAACGTCACTTACGGCTGTTTTTCCTGAAACTACGTCATTTTCGGCGCACTTACGGCTTTCTTATATGTCTCGTTATCATTCCATGAACACTGGAAAAAAACACATTGTATATCTAGAGTCCAGACTCTTAAAAACATCGACAAGAAAAAATACTCTTGATTCAATCAGATTTAAGCTTAAATCAAGAACCAAGCCTCTTAATTTGAGCGGATTTCCGTTTGATCTAAGCTTAAATCTGATCGAACCAAGAGTCCTTTTTCTTGTCAATAGGTATTTCCAAGAGTTTGGACTCTAGATCTAATGTGTTTTTTTTCCAGTGAAGATAAATTTTGCTGTTTTAGTAATTTCTAAGATTTCATCAAAAAAAGATACGGCGGATTTTGAAGGTAACTCGATTTCAAAAAACGGACTTTTACTGCTCTCTCGGCTATCACGGCAGTGCCCTCCTTCGGCGTGGAATTTTGTCGCGTCCCAAGACGCGGCGTCGTCGGTCTATTTATTCCGAGCTCTTCTCTGTCTTTCCTCCTCCTCTTCCGCGATTCTCGTGTCCGCGTCTTTCGGGTCCTGTCCGCCGGGATCCGGGATTCTGTCTAAATACGGAGCTGGAGCGAGCCCCGGCCCTGGAAACCGAGCCCTGGCCCACCTCCAATCCTCGCCCCGCCGCACAGTGGTCCGAGTCTAAAGGAGAGCTCGGACAAAATTTGGAAACTTTAAACGCTTATAACTCCGTTTATGTACAATTTCGAGGTTCTAAAAGTGATTCTATTGGTTTTCTCGCGAAATTTTCTTCTAGGTACACCCCCTAAAATTTAAAATGTGACGAAATAAACATGAGCAGTTGTAGTCGAAAATTGTGTGTCCGACCTCTCTGATTGACTCGATCCACTGTGCGGCTGGCCGTCTCGACGTCACGTGACGCGCGCCACGCTTCCGCGAAAATCCCGCCTCCAACATTGTAAAATTCGAGCAAGGACGCGGTCAAAAAGACCACGTTGCGACGGATAATTCGTCAAGATTCATCGAGGGAGGGTTTTTTTGGTGGTTTTTTTGTGGATTTCTCGGATAAGTGGCAACGTGTGCACGTGGGAGGTGTGCGAATGCATTATAACGTGACTGTATGTTTGGACTACGTTTGGATCGCGTTAAGAAAAAAGGGAACCAAGCCACATCAGCTATTGCCGAATTTAATCGGGTACTGGAAAAAAAACACATTGGATCTAGAGTCCAGACTCTTAAAAACATCGACAAGAAAAAATACTCTTGATTCAATCAAATTTAAGCTTAAATCAAGAACCAAGCCTCTTAATTTGAGCGGATTTCCTTTTGATTCAAGCTTAAATCCGCTTGAAATCAAGAGTCCTTTTTCTTTTCAATGTTTTCAAGAGTCTGGGCTCTATCCAATGTGTTTTTTTTCCAGTGGGTAATTTAATTTTTTACGAAAACGGCTACGTGAATTTTCTGCATCGTACGCAGCAAACCTGACATTTCTACAGGAATCCACACAAACGTCCACTAGTAAAAAATGGAATGCCCGGTTAAAGGCGAGAGCTGATGTGGCTTGGTTCCTTTCTGCTAAACGCGGTCCATTTTCCAATTCGGAACTACTGTTTCTTGCTCATTTTTAAAGCAGCGTTAGTGCCATTGGTTACCCATTCAGATTGGTGTTTTTATGAATGTGCCTGAACCTCTGATTTAAATTGTCTTTTAGGCAGGGCCGTATGAAGGGGGTGGCCACATGGGCCGCGGCCCATGGCGGCAAATCTAAGGGGCGGCAAAAATTTGCATTTTTTTTAAGTGTAGGTATAAAAAAATCGGATTTAGAAAAAAAAAATCACAAACGAGAAAAGGCAACAAAATCTCTCATTTACTGAGAGTATAGTAATTTCTAATTTTGTCTTACTGATGCAAGAGACAGTACCTTCAATTAGTCGAGTTAAGAGAGAAACCAAACAGGCAATTTGGCCTGGAACGGTGCGACTTAGAGAGAAATGATAACGAGGACCTGAGATGAAAAGGAGAAGCCCTCGGTACGGCGATCGGCATGTAACACATATTAGCGCCTACAAGACTGTACGAATACTTCTCGCATTGCATCAAACACAGTGCGGTCAGCGTGAAACGGATAGCGTCTACAAGAATGCATGAATGCCTCACGCATAGCGCCAAACACAGTGCGATCAGCGTGGAACGCATAGCGCCTACAAGACTGCGTGAATACTTCACGCATTGCGTCCAAAACAGTGCGTTCAGCAGCGGTCGGCGTGAAACGCATAGCGCCTACAAGACTGTCTGAATACCTCACGCTTTGCGCCAGACATGGAAGGCCTTGTCCACGCAGAGATAGGTTTACGAAACTTTCGCGCAAAGTTCCGTGAACTTTTGCTAGTAGTGTTGACAGGGCTTTCCCAAAAAAATGTGTTCAACACGAGTAAATGCGTCTTATGCACCCCTCCCTCGCTAGCACGTTCACTTGATGGTTTTTATCGAGTTTCAAAACAAATGAGAAGGGGGCGGTAAAATACAGGCGGCCCATGGGCGGCAAGTAGGTGAATCCGGCCCTGCTTTTAGGTTACCTATAAAGATAGGTGCTTTGGTAAGAGTGCTGTCATCTTCAGCAAAAACGTCGCAACTCAAGTTCAGGTTTTGAAAATGTTTTCCGGACTAAGTATTCCGTCTCGAAAGACCTAATTACCTCCATGCTTGATATTTTCATTACAACTTCACAATCAATGGTGTGACACAGTTATTCTGAAAATACATAGTATGGACTTTTGCAGCTTTTATCGCAGTAGAACTGTTTTTCTGAAAGAAACGTTCCAAATCTAGAATGAAGATACGGTGCTTTTGCTGTGTGCGGCAGGGTGCCAGAAATAGTGGGTCCAAATTGCAAAAATGCATGTATTTAGTTTCTTTCCTGGTGTCCTGGTAGATGTCATTCCTGACTTGGACGGCACTTGGACTACATTTTGCGGTAAGGAACAACTATTTCCGGCTCACCTTATCTGCCATTAGTTTCCATATGCAGATAAGTGCTTTTAAAAAGTCACCAAGTATAGTAGTTCTTAGAGTGTCCCTTGCACCGAGTTTAACTGAGAAGCACCGAAACTTGATAATTTCATGTCAAGGTCATTTCTTGAAAGGAGGATCTACTCTTGAAGTTATTTTGTTGAATTTCGACCGAGATAATGAAGAAGAAAAATTACGATTTGGTGAAAAAATATTACCGCTGCATGCAAAACTATCTGCGCTTTTTCAATTCGACCGACATGACCTAAAATGCAGGCAAACGACCCCACGTTCCAAAGTTTGAGACAAAATAGAAAGATCGGTGAAAGTAAAATCAGGCATGCTGTGCAGATTAACGACATTAAAATACATGAAGGAACTTGGATTCTTCAGGAAACCAGATCGGAATTTTTTCAGAGAGCACATCGTCACCGACACCGCAAAAATGTGGAATACTCTTGCATTTCTTTAAATCTCTTTTTTTTATTAAATACATCGCAGTTTTTATCAAGCATCAACTAAACATTAGATGGAGCTGAAAGAATCGAAAATCGGAATATCATGCGCATCGAGACAGAGGAATAAGGGAAGAAGGGGTAACTATAGGGTAATGGCTAATTCAAAGAAACATTCATTCGTACTTAAAAAGAAATGGCGTTGAAAGTTAACTTAATTTTTTCTTTAAATTTTGGAACGTTAAGAAAGTAACCAACTATGATAATATTTACCTGATGCTTCATTGTAATAGACATTTATCCTCTCTAGCTGGAGATCAGATGCTCCTTGATATGTTCCAGAACTGTGGATACCATGTTCTTCGGAGATGATTTCCCAAAACTGGAACAGATAAAAAGTACAAAAATAAGTACACCATTCTCGCCAATTCTACTTCTTCGAAATTCTCAGCCAGAAAACGCCAATAGTCATCAATTACAGGATGGCGCAGAGTTCACAGGAGATTTTATCACCCAAGTTCAGCCCTCGTCGTTCTTCCCCCACCCCCTAGTCCACTCGGACGTCAACTGCGAGCGTGAGCCTTGGTCACTGACCCAGGCAACCGCGTCGGAGGAGTCTGCGGTCAATTCATCGCGGTGCATATTTTGACCGATCGAGCCGCGAATCGATGCACCGCGACGCACAGTGAACCAAGTCAATTATGGAGGTCGGACTTGGAATTGTTGACGAAAACTGCGGATTTTAATGTGTATTTCATCACACTTTTAATCTGAAGGAGTGCTTGTAGTGGAAAATGGAGATGTTGCATGTGAGAGGAATTTGCGATTTGACTGTTGATTCTTATGTATAATTTCGCGAGAAACACGATGGTGCCACTGGCTTTCTCTCAAATCAACTGCCAAGCTCAAAAAAAGCTCTCAAGTTGAGGCCAAAATGGAGGGGATATCCCACCCTACCCTGAGAGTCCACCTCTACATCAAGACAAACTCTCCATGCAAAGATAGGGAGCAAATACATTAGCAGTGATGCCGTGTTTTAAGTTTTAGAGTCCCCAAATAAAGTGGCAGCCCAGTCAATGTATTTGCTCCCTATCTTTGCATGGAGAGTTTGTCTTGATGTAGAGGTAGACTCTCAGGGTAGGGTGGGATATCCCCTCCATTGCGCCCTCAACTTGAGAGCTTTTTTTGAGCTTGGGAGTTGATTTCAGAGAAAGTCAGTGGCACCATTGTGTTTCTCACGAACTTTTACATAAGAATCAACAATCAAATCGCAAATTCCTCACACTTGCAACATCTCAATTTCACGAGGAAACCAACGGAACCACGTTTAGTGCCTCAAAGTTTTGTATAAATGGAGTTATAAGCTTTTAAAGTTTTCCGACCTCTCCTATTGACTCGACCCCTGGTGCGCCGCGGCATTGCATTGTGCAGCGCGTCGGGCATTTTCCGCGCATTTTCACGTCGCGTCCTCGCCAGCGTCGCCATCGCCGATCGGAACACTGCCCTTCTAGGTGAGAACCGCGCAAGTGAGGATGGTGAGTTCGCGGAGATACACTGTTTCAGCTGATGCGATGGCAAGGCCGATTACCTCCGCATGGCGACGTTCGACGGTCCGTTGCGGTGACGTGACGGCACGAGATTCCCTCGTTACTTTCTCACCGATGTCGATGTCGATGTCGCCCTCGCTATATTTGCATTCCGTCGATTCTACTCGTTGTTCCGATCGCTCATTGTGAGGCACTCCGTTTTCTTCGTTTGTTTGCCTTTACGTGCGTAGAGTTGCGGATGATTGTCGGGAAATGGGGAAAAGACAAGGGTTTTTATCATAATGGAGAATTTGCAGGTGTCTGAAATTGAATCAGTGAGAACGACAACACACCAACTCGAAAAATGAAAATATTTAAGACACACTCAAAATTGTATACGGAGGAAAAAACTTCTTGCGTGGGACCCGAAGTTTAGGTCATATGGATCTCTGAAGTTTTCGGATTGAGCATCTAAGCACTTTAGGTCGAGCTGTTGAGGTTTGGATCACACATCTGAAACTTCAGTTCTTACATCTGAAGTACTTCGGTTTTCACATCCAAACAAATTCGGTTCTCACATCCGAAAAACTTCGGTTCTCACATCCGAAAAACTTCGGTTCTCACATCTGAAGTACTTCAGATGTAAGAACTGGAGTTTCAGATGTGTGATCCAAAGACAAGAGGTACGTTATTTCGTAAGGGAACGACGATTTCTGAAGACTTGGCTGTTACGCCTTTCTTCAAATAACCTTACGCCTCCTTTTCAGGTGATAAGTCAGTGTGTTTATCGAGATCGAAAGCAAAACTCAAGGAGAGCACTTCGAAGCCAACAAAAAGAATCGAATGAAAAAATCAACCGTGACGTAACGCTGGGGTAGGAGAAAGACGCGACTTTGTTTGGAAAGCGCGACTGTATTTACACGTTCACCAGCGTTGAGCGAGAGTGCAAATTTATTCGCACGCGAACGGAGCTGTTTATTCGGGCGCTTAATTTAGCCGAAAAAGCAGCTATCGATGGGAGCCGTTTCCGCTAGGATCTGGGACTAAGTTTACGGCTTCCGATGGTCGGGTTTACGGCCGCCTCGAGATGAAAAATGTTCCAAATTTTAAAGCCTCTAAAATCGACCCGGGCAGATCAAAGCAGCGTGCCAATCACGCGGGTGCAAATCATAGCGGACCGTTCGCACGTTTGAACTTGGAGATGCAGAGTCGTAACTCCGCGGAGAATGGCAGGGAAACAGCCGTAAGTCCACCTCGCGGCGTGGGCCGCGGTTGGCGCGGATGCTTGAGGGCTTCGAGGCTCACGGAGAATCGTACTTACTGCTGTTTTCCACCGCACGGTGGGTTTTATTGCGATAGAAGCGATTCCGGAAGGAAAACGTTGAGTTCGAGCGGCGATCCCGGGGCCGTAAAATAATAGGAAAGGCCGTTTATGGCGTATTTACGGTCGGAACATTCACTCGGCTATTGATGATTCGCGTTGACGGTGAACTTTCAGGTGTGCTAACGGGTTGGATTCACTATGTTGCCGTGGGGATGTCTGAAAGTCGATCCGTGTAAATACATTCACTGAAGAAAATTTAAATGAAAAATTCGTGGAAAGCAAACCTAGATACTCAGGACAAGCAACCTAGGCAATGGAAATTTTTGAAGAGAAAAACAATATTGCAGATTTCCTTTGAGTAAATCACGGCTACACGCGTTAGATTTGACGAAAAAAGTCAAAATTTCTCAAAAAAAGGGAATTATTTAGAAATTTCACATTGACAAATTGCTGATTTTCAAGAAAATTTGTGAAAATTTTCTTCCAATTTCTCAGATATTTTTGCTTGCAATTTTATCTAAAAATTCTGAAAATCTCAAGGAAAAATATCCTTAATTTTCCTCAAAAATAATCACTTTATCGGTGAAAATTTGGCAACTCTCGAATGTTCATACGGCGTTTTTCCTTAGCACGGCAGTATTACATGTCTCAATTTTTGAGGTTGTCCCACGTAAATCACCCCAACTCGCTCAGCTTAGTGAGTTGGATATACGTTTGAAAAGTTAAGCGAGACAACTACAAGACGCGAACGCGACGTCAATAAACACATCGCTCGCGACGTAAAAAGGAGAAAAAGAGGAGGGACGGGAGAAAAAAATTGAGTGAAAATGAGCTGACAAAGCCGGGTAATTAATAGAGAGTTGAAGAATTCGTCCAGCTCCTTTGACGCGAGGACTCAAACGAACTCCAGACGAAATGCATCAGACGTCATTCGTCTACGTTGCTTTACCCGCTTGTCAGATGGTTGCGGAAAAGGGGTAAATCTGTCATGCTAAAGAAGAACGCTGTATGAACCTTCAGACGTTGCCGCATCTCATTCAATAAAACCTTACTTTACTGGGAAATTCGTGAATTTTTGTCTTCGGCGTTTTCAGACAATTGAGTTTGAATTTTTGTCTAGAATGCCTGAAAGTCTCAAGAAAAAATACGCATAGTAATCGTTCTCAAAAATACATGAATTTCCGGGGCAATATGGCAACTCTCAAATTTTCGTACGGCGTTCTTCCTTAGCACGGCAGAAATAAAGTCTGGAACCATGCGAGAAAAATTATTATTACCTCTGTCGCGAGGATTCCAAATCTTCATGTACAATGTACATACGACTCATGTATGATGCCTTATAATCAGTGTACAAAAATGCAGGCCATTTGTTAGCTTTGCAGTCAATTTCGTCGATTATTAGCACGAGAATTGAGGAGCTTGGAGGACAAGGCGCATAAGTGCAATTTTAGAAAACATTTAGTTATTACTGATTTCAAGTAAAATTAGTCTTAATGCATATTCTGTGAAAAATTCGCTCCTAAATCCCAATTTTTAAGCATTAAAAAGTCAGTTCGAACTTTCTTTCCACCGTGAGGGTCCATGCAATTTCGAAACTTGAAACACGCATTTCTCGACGTAACAAAAACTGCACTTGTTTTTCCTTGTCCTTAGAGCCCCTTAATTGTTAGTTTCATCAAACTGCAATAGCCACGCTCCTCCGGTTTGATCAAACCGAACTAACCTAACGTGACTCGAAGAACCGAACTCAAACTGTAGGTCTATTCCATCGCCTAGAAGAAAAAAACAAGACGACGGTTCCAACGTTAAGACGTTGGAGAGCGTTCACCGTAGCACCTCGTCAAGCGGACAAAATAGGAGAAAAAAGGTAGAAATGATACATGAAAAAAATTGAGAAACTAGGTATTGCTTCCAGCTACGAAAAATGGCGCCAATTCCCATGGAGCAGTGTGGGCCTATACCAATGGATACATTAGTAACATATCTGATGCAAAATGACGGGAAAGAGCTTACACTACTAACGTGTTGAACGCTCAAAATCAATTCTCATTTAAAGAGACCCGCATGGGATCGTTGCAACCATGTCACGAAGTGCATTAGCGGAGATGTCTGGATCCGTGGACAAGATCGAGTGCACAGTGAGTCATTAGTTTACAGCAGGGGCCGCTACCAGCCTCCTCGCAGCCCATTTCTCAAGCACCTCTTGATCAAGGCTCTCCACGTCGAGTGGACGAAATGGAGAACATTTGTTTGCAATTTGCAGCCCCCCCCCCCCCCNGGCTCGTGAGCTGAGGATGTAACGAGGCGACAAACTGCAGACGGGACTCCAGTACGTCACTGTCCTACGTCATCTCCAACAGGATCCGCTGCCAGGAAGTGGCACGTGGGATCCAAAGATATTCCATATTTCCCAGGGCAGCCTCTCTTTTTGACGCATTTCGGTCGTGGAATGGAGAACCTGCAAGGGTCTGAAATTTGATGAATTTCGTGTTAAAGTGGAATCTCCTAAATGAACTGAACACGGAGATACCC